GTGGTTCTGAATCTAGTCTCACAAGTGCAATGTGAAATTGACAAACACCAAAGAGTCCAAATCCGGCAAATCTTTTGGAAAATCAATTTTAAACCAAATAATGCCAAAATTGGACTGCTTTTCCAGATACAGAGTCATCACCTAAATATTTTATTTTGGAAAAATTAGGAAACCCTGACTCAGTGCCAAAGGAATGTGGTAGCTAGAAGTAGTGCAGAAGCAGAGTTCAGAGCTGTTGCCCATGGAATCTGTGAAGTAATGTGGATTAAAAGAATTCTTGAAGAATTAAAGCTTTCTCACCCGACACCTATGAAGGTCTATTGTGACAACAAAGCAGCTATATCTATAGCTCATAATCCAGTTCTACATGATCGCACAAAACATATAGAAGTGGATAAACATTTCATCAAGGAGAAAATCAATGCTGGCATAATCTGTATGACCTACCTTCCAACAGGTGAACAATTAGCTGATGTGCTAACGAAGGGACTACACAAGAAGCAATTTGATAAGCTGACTAGCAAGCTGGCTATGGAAGATATCTTCAAACCAGCTTGAGGGGGAGTGCTAGAAATTTGTGTTAATGTATATAATAAGATGGTGGCATGTATATAATATGATAGTGGTGTTGGTGGTAGATAGTGGCATGTATATAATATGATAGTGGTAGATTGTGGTAATATATAATATGTAAGTGGCATATAATGGGTTATGATGATGTTTGTAATATCTCCTATATAAGGAGTGTCATTTGGTCTTGTAAGATAAGAAGTTTTGAATATAACAGAAATATATTCCTTCTTCCTCATATTTTTCGGAGTTCTTCTTCCTCATATTTTCTAAGTACATCTATTAAGCAATTCACCAAAGGAAAAATGCAAGTAATCTGTCCAGAGGAGAAGTCAAAGCAGACAAAGAGAAGTGAAGTTTTACTTCATAAAATACTAGTCAAAAACAAAAACCAAAAAAGTTTACTCCACAGAATCATACATGTACTGTCAAATCCATCTACAATTCCAAAGACGGCTCTGTTTGGGTTCATTTTCCAAATTTTTTGCCTGAATTTTTTTTTTAAAATCAAAACTAGTTTGACAAAAATAAACAGCAAAAAAATATTTTAAATTTTTAAAAATTATTTCAGCCCCAAAAAAGATAAAACCATATAAAAGTATTAGTTCAAAAAATCGATTTTAAAAACCAAACCAAACATAGCCGTACACTTGCAAAAATTATTCTAGAAGTCTTGTTAGGGGCCACACTTACCAAAAGTCCAAAACAATTATTGGAAACAAAAATAGATTTTCAATTAAAAAGCTCAACTGATAAATATCCAATGATTACTTCCACATAGGAAAGTAAAAGAGAGGATAAGGCTACTAAACCTGAAAACCAGTTAAACTTCAATTAACTTATATTTTAGCAATGGGCATGGAAAAAAATTCGATGGGTGGTGGTAGTGGCAAATGCAGCACAACTATGTTGCTAGAGAAAAACTTATATGGAAGCCCCATGCCTTTAGATGTTCAAGTATAACTACAATTAAGTGTCTGGGAGTTGGAACAATAATCTATCAATGCATAAGAAAGTTGTTCCTTGAGTTATTGGTGCAAACTACTCCTGTTATTCTTGCTCCCTTATTATGCTACTTATTAACAAAATGCCACAGACAACATACCACGACATGGATATCCCATATTGGTGAGACATTCAGACAACATTCCTTGACATGGATATCCCATATCTATGAGATACTCATGCAAGTAGGAACCAATTATATAGACCACTAGATTAGTAGCAAACGTAAAGCTATAGTGAATGAGATATGTATATGTTGTAAGATGATATACTCCCTAAGTAACCATACTGTTCCCAATAAAGAAGGACAATGGTAGTAGAAGACCAAGGAGGGTCCAGGGATGTTTTGGAATATGCCTGCATGGACCTTGTATATGTATTCATGCATAAATATCTTAGATATATTTAGTTACAAACTTACAATGTATGTAAGGTTATTAACAATATGCTTTCATCTGCCAATATAGAATCATTAATTTGTGTAGTACATGTATTTGAGTTTCATACGTGGCAAGCCACGTCATCGCTAGGTAGTGGCCTCAAACCGCTCCTTTACATGATAAGGCATGATTTTAATCTTGGCTTAGTGCTTTGCTCAACCAATTTCGCACACCTAGCTCCACTCGAATCACTCAACTCCACTCGCTAGCCTACCTCATTGCCTCGCCTACCATTGCAAGCTATGATTAGAAGGGCGCCATGTTGCCAAGCCAATCTAGGTCAAGAGTAGGGCCTATGAACCCCCTCAGGTTGGTGTCTCAATCATGGGATGCTCGAGGAATCTATGACCCTGTGCAGGATCACCAGGTCCTTGTGAAATGGGGGCTAAAGTTGGGGATCACTTTAATATTATCCCCAATTGTTTGACATCCCATCCCAAACCTTAATAATATTATATGCTTTGGGCTAGGGCCTCACAACTTTAAAACATGTTACTTTTGGGAGAGGAGGGCAAGCTAACCCCAATGACCCACCTCCTATAAATGGAAGCCTCCACTTACAGCAAGCTCATAGGCTTCTCTCTTAGTCATTCTCCCTCTCTACTCTAAGGCTACCTCAATGCTCTTCCCATCCATCTCCGGCGGTCCTGTGCCATCTAAGTGCCTACCTCTATTATCAGAATCTTATGATTCGCAATTCATTCATAAATCAATATAAATCTATGGGTGAATTTATTATGGGATAGAATCTATGGTAAATCACACGATTCACAATTCGATTCACTTTTCATGATTCATACAACTCTTGAAACTATTGTGTCTGACTAATCCAACCCTTTTTTCTATTTTTTTACTGAAAATGACATAATACAACTTTTAAGAGTGTTGAGTACGAAAATAACCAATAGCTATGTATGATTTATTATTATTTTGATGATTATAAGGTCTTAATAGGGTCCAATCAGATCCAGTCAGACTTGACATATTCTTAACTTTTTTCCTTATTTTTTTCCTCAAAAAAGTATTATATATATATATTACATCTTCTAAGAATGTTTAAGGTTAAAGAAACTTGCACCATGAATTGTCTTTTGTTGTTTTAATGAAATAAATATAATTCAATATTACATGGACCATGGTTCTATAACATTTTTTTTTCTCATTTTTTAAACAATAAACATACACACTCTTTGAAATGTTCTAAGTTATAAATTAAAGGATTCTACTTAATTCTATCCTAAATATTATATTCTATGAAGGGTTTCTAAGCCTATTTTTTTAATGTCAAGACTCGAGAGATCATATTATATGATTTTTGAATAATTTTACAGTTGGTGGGATTTGGATACACATCTCTTGCTACGAAGGCAACATTCTCCAAATTAGACAATGTAATTACGTCCTTATTTAAGAATTATTTTATAACACAAATCAAAGTCAATTTATTTCATATATATGATTATTTAAAATCATTTTATGCTAAATCTTAAAGATTCTCAATTTGATTCATGATTTACAATATTAGGCTTTTGATTAGCGATATATTCTCAATTTGACAACTGTCGGGCCTACCATAATTCCAGGAGGTCGTATGAACAAATTACATAAGATATTCCATACAATAGAAAACTTTTGCCCAATTTGCTTCTAATATAGTTATTCTAGGGCTACTGTAAACTAATTATGAAACTCAAAAATAAGCTTGTAAGCAACAACTAACTCATGTCGTAATTTGTGACATAACAAACATAAAATTATGGAATGAGTGCCTCATTCAACTAATTAATTAACCAGAGAATTTTATCCAGAATAAAATCTATATGAAAGACACGAAATTTTATACTAGTTTCACACGTACAGCATGCAATATAAGTCAATAGTTCAGTTTGAAGTTTGCAAAATTACCTGTTTTCTCGATCCCGTTCTCTAAATTCCTTCTCCCTTTCCCTTTCTTTGAACTCCCCGTCCCAACTCTTCTCTCTAACTTGCTCATCCCGATGCATTTCTGGACGGCTTATACTTCTACGTGACCGCTCTTGCTCTTTATCCTTCTCCCTTTCATTGTCAGGTTTATGCTCTCTCTTATCCCTATCACAGTCCCTCTCTTTGTCTCTATCTATGTCTCGATCCTGGTCCTTTCCTTTGTCTTTGTCTCTAGCTCTATCCCGCTCTCGGTCTTTGTCCTTTCCATTCCTCTCTTCCCGGTCTCGCTCTCGGGTTCTGTCCTTTCCATTCCTCTCTTCCCGATCCCTCTCTCGGGTTCTATCCTTTACATTCCTCTCTTCCCGATCCCGCTCTCGGTCTTTGTCCTTTCCATTCCTCTCTTCCCGGTCCCTATCCCTGTCCTTGTCTCTATGATCTCGACGACTTCTATGTCGGTCCCTGTCAATCTTTTCTCCATCTCTTGGAGACGATCGATGTCGTGACGAGGCCCTCTCTAGGTCACGGTCACGAGACTCACCTCTGGACTTCGATCGCTTTGCCCGGTGATCCAAATCATTATCGTTCTCATCAATTTTGTGCTTTGAACTACGGGTCCGTTCTTTCTTTTCGGATTTAAGTGTTTCTTCCCCACCATTTGCTGCTTCCTTCAATTTCTGAGGGTCCGTATTTTCCACCATCTTCTCTAAATAATCATATTCATCAAACTCCATTGAACAATCTCTAAATCAAACAACTCGGATGGATTCTGAAACGACACTTATTGCCAATGGGATCTGAAAACAAATACCAACAAGTAAAACATTGAAATAGACAGACGAAATTCAATAATAAATAAGTTATAGACACGCATATTTGAAACCCTGATGCACCCTTTTCACTTGAAACAATTCCAGGGAAGCCTTTCATCAGTATAATCAAATATTGATTCAAATGGTCCTGGAATCCAGGCAAAACCTTATCGTGTCCCATATGTTAGGCACAAATTCACATGGATACATACACAATAACATGTTAATAAACCAATATTTTGTAGCCAACAAAGTTCACAAGGAAAGAATTTGAATTTGAGTCCGTAGAGTAAACAGAACCAACTTCAATGGAAATATCAAACTAACAGCACTGACAAAAATGTATAAAGAACAGTAATTTACAAACAACGAGACAATATTGCTCCTGCAACAATGAAGGAATCAATAGTTTGGGTTTTTTGCAAACCCTAATTTCAACAACCGACCAAAAGCATCCCAAAATTTGGGAGATTTACATGGAAAACTTTGGAAGATGAGATTGAAAAAAAACCAATGAAAAGAGTCTATGAGATTTACCTCTAAGGGTTTAACAGCGACACAGAAAGAGAAGAAAAGCGTCAAACGGGCAAACTACGAAGAAGAGTGCGTCTCCGAACCTGTCGAGTGAACTCTGTGTAGGTTAGTTTGCCCGTTTGGGGCAGCCCATGTGTTTGGTTTTTTTGTTTTTTTTTTTTGTTTTTAATTACAAATACATCCCTCGTTTGCTGAAATTTTATAACAAATAATCTTTTTATTAGTAAATTATCATGTAATTTTATAACAAATAATCTTTTTATTAGTAAATTATTAAATTAATTAATTATTTTTAATAATGTTGTAAATTTATTTCAATCAATAATTTGAGTAATAATTAATTTGTTTAATTTTTTAATTTGATAATTAATTTTTTTTAATTGAGTAATTACTTCAATTAATAATTTGAGTAATTTTGTTATTTTATATGGGAGTTGTTGAGAATTTTATTTTTTTAATTAATTTTGTTAAATAAAAAATTATGATCAAGAAGTACTTGTAATTTTTCAAATTACAAGGGAGAATTAGTATTTTACGGCTTCGTTTGGCAATGACTTTTTTAATTGTCTTTTTAATTTTTTTAACCTGAACTTTTTTGTTTGTTTGATTTTCTTATTTGATTTTTTTGGCTTCTTGGCATTGGAAATAATGTTTTCAAAAGTGAAATGACAAAATTACCCTCACGCGGTCAAATCCAAATATCCACACAAAGATGTGTATTGGTATATATGGGGTAGTTTAGTAATTGTCCATCCATCTCACGTGCTTCACAACTCACGTTTATCATTTTTGGCAGTTTGTGATTTTGTAGCCTAGAAATAATTGCCAAACCGGAGTTAAGTAAATTTCAAAGAGTGTATTCATAATTTATCTTTTTTAATAATTTAAATAAATTTAATGTTAAATTGCAAAACAAATTTGAGATTTTGAGTTTTATAATAAAATAAATTTTTTTAAATTATTATTTATTTTTATTAAGTAAAATTAATGAACAAAAATAATATTTTAATCATTATGTAGGTGTACATCAAATTTTTAAAATAATCTTTTTTGTTGAGTTTGATGATTTCAAAATATCCTTTTTCTATTATTTTTATCTAACGAAAATAGACAGATAATTTATATTGAAAATAAATCAAAAGATTAGTATTTAAATTAACAAAATTAAAAACATTTGTTTTGTTACAAGAGTCAAACTAAGGATCACAATGGCAGGGTATTGGTCAGGTCCTCAACCCCAACCCCAACCCCAACGCCCGACCCTCATGAAACTCTCTCCCGTTTGCACCTCAAACTCGCAAACATAATCCCCACTCAGACCCTATTCGATTAGCAATACAATAAGAAATTTAATAATAATATTAAAACTCAATAATTAAAACTATAGAATAATATTTATAATTAAAAAATATATTATATATTGTACATATATTAAAATTATATTATATATTAACATAATAAAAATTCAACAATACATTGTATAAAAATTATATATTCTATAAAAATTCGGCAACATCTTATGCACATATTATGTATAGGAATGTTTTGGGAAAATTGTTAAAAACTGTCTTTTTAATTTTTTTTTTGAAAAAAAAAAACTATAAAAAATGTGAGAGTTGATATGACTAAAATTAGGTTAAAAGTAAAAAAATAGCTTATAACTGTGTTTTCAAAACACCCCATAATATTATTTTTTAATTACTTTATATGCAACTTGGGTAGGGTACTGTGTGGGTAATTTTCTGACCACACTGCCCACCTAGTAATCAGCTGGAGAGCACCGGCAGAATAGATGGCTTCAGCAAACCTGTAACAGAAATAAAAGGCTCCGGCGGTGGCTCTTCCACCCGGGGGCACTCCGACGATCAAGTCAGTATATCTCTCAAAGATAATCAAGTGCTAAACTCACAAGCTTAAGCATAAAACTGCGTCCCTTAGACCCACGGGGGTGCCTCTCTTTTATAGTTTACTCAATCCAAGTCCCACTAGAAACCTGACTTCTATGGACTCCAATTCAGTGCTTACTTTGGACTCCTGAAGAGATAAAGATAAACTCCCTAAGAGCTTTATCCTTATCTTAGCAAAGTCTTCTCTTTACTCTAGGACTCCTGTCCCTCATCTTTTATCCATTTATCGCGGATTCCGATATCTTCGGAGATAACCTCGGCCTTGCCGAGATAACCTCGGCGTAACAATCTGGACACGTGGCACCTCGGCTGACACGTCGGTGTCACCTTGCCACGTGTCGGTACTCAGAAAATACATCCCCACAACTGCCCCCTAGGTTCTATTACCTCGGCCTTCTGAGGTGATGGAACCTATATCTGTATTGTCTTCCAGTACCTCGGCGTAAGAACTCTTCGGCCGATATCATTCATGTCAAGCCGACATGTTCCCTTCGGAGAACAAGAATTCCAGTGATCCTTTTTATATGTGTGAGCTGTCATGCATCTTTTACTCAACTGTTTCTCTTACGCGTCTTTTCCTTAGTGGTCCGTGTTTGTGACGCGCCTGTAAGCCACGTTTTTCCTGCGTACGCCGCCTGATGTATGCGCTGCTCCAGGCGCATTAATTATCTTTTGCCGCTGTTTTTGGTTTTTGACAAAAACGCTTCCTTCTTCTTTCATTTTTTCACTATTGCTTTTGCTGTTTCTCTTTATAAACTTGTTCTGTCGAATCTGTCATTGCTGAAGCTTCCAAGCTCTGTATCCGTATCTATCGACTGACTTCGGCAGTCCTCACATCGGCTTCATTTTCTTCTGGTAAGCAACTTTTTCTTCCGATTTCAATTCTTGACCTTTTCTAGAATCTTCTGTTATTACTGTCTTGCTCAAATATCTATCTTGTAAATCATTCATCTGAATGTGTTTATTCTTTGATTTGGCCCTTGCCTATACCTTGAACACACGCACCGTTGCACCACTTTACTGTATTTTTGCCATTGATCATGGTCCTCTATTTCTCGTATTCTTTATTTTCTTAATAGCCCATCCCTGTTCTTGTTTCTAAAATTTCGCCTTTGTTTTCTGTTTTTTGTGTCTTTGCCAGATCTCTTCCTTCAATTTTTGCCTTCAATCTTTGCCTTCATAGATTTAGGTTTGGGATTTGCCTATAGAACCTATCAATTCTTAGGAAAAAACTGAAACAATCCTTACCAGCATATACCTAGGGTTTCGCCGAGGTCCCGATAAACCCTTAAAAGCATCTTCTTTCCGAAACCAAGCCCTCTGTCTTTAGGCCGATGTTATGGGTATGTGGAGGCACATGGTAGACACCCCGACCAAACTTGAGTACTTTAGGCGGGAGTTCTCTATTCCTGCCGATGTCCACCTGAGACTTGCTGGGGATGATGACTCTATTATCCCCACAGATGATTCAATGCCTTTTCCCATGGTAGCTTTTACCGAGTGTGGACTCCGACTCCCACTTAACATTCTCTTTCGCGAAATTCTTCACTTTTACAAGTTGAACCCTATGCAACTTGCCATAAACTCTTATCGAGTGATCAATGGCATCATAGTTTTAGCTAAGCAGGAGAATGCTAGGATCACTCTTGCCGACATCCAGTACTGTTATACCATGTGCCCCCTTAACCTGAAGGAAAAAGGCTTCGTCTATTATCTTAAGCCGAGGTCCACTGAATTCAAAATCGTAGCTGACCTCCCAGACTCCAACAAGGGAGCTGGAGATGACTATGTTATCGCGTCAGGAAACTAGGAGTTTGGCGCAGACGAGGACGCCCATCTCTACCCTCTTCCCTGATCAGTTAAAGAGGGCAAGGGTAAGAACCCAGTGTCAATACTTAGTTGTTTCTGTTCAAGTCTTCAAAACTTTGTCTATTTCTAATGTTTTGTCCTTCTTGCAGATGTTCGCAAGCCACCAAAGGATTTTCGCCAGTCCTACGTTCCCAGCAAAGACTTAAAGAGGCTCCTAGATCTGCCAATCCAAAAGCGCAAGGCTCCACTGGTACTGAATTTTATTCCGACGTACAAGTCTACACTGCCTGACGTCCCGAAACAAAAATAGAAGAGCTTATCTCCTCTCTCTGCTACCACTCTACAAACCGCATCAACATCTCGGGCTGACCAAGGGTCAACCACTGATCCAGCCGATCAACCATCAACTTCTGCCCCATACTTAATCCCAATACCAGAAAGAAAATGTCGGCGACGTCTTGTCAAAACTGCTGAGATGGGTCGCCGGAAGCTTGTTGTTGTAGATCTCTTAGCCGACCTACCTGCCGACGTTGATGTTGTTCTGACTCAATCCATGCCCCCACCAAAGCCAAAAAGAACAAAAAGGGCTCAGCCAAAGGCCAAAGTGACTCAGGTTGAATCTGAGGATACTTTGCCTATTTCCAAACTGGCTGAGAGTAAGAAGACTTCTTCTACTCCTGTAAAAAGGTCTGCTGAAACCCCACACTCTGAGTCCACACAGTCAAAGAAGCCAAGGTCGGCCTCAGCTACTACCTCGGGATCCAAGAAACCAGATGTCCCTTAGGCTCCCAAAATTACTTTGGAAGACAGGCCAATTATGTCCAGTGAAAGCGCCGACGACATAAATGTTGGCGTTGCCCTCAGCACGGCGTTACTTCTTCCGGGCGACCTCGAGCGAAATGCTGAGTATAGTGAGTACGAGAATTACGCTCTAATGCTCCAGCACTCCGTTCAAGTAAGTGTTCCAGCTTGGAATTTTCTACTTTCTTTCTATTTCATACTTAAAATATTTTCCAACACTTCTGTTTTCTTTCAGGCCATCCAGCATGCCCATTCGTTTTCAATGCAATCTTTTGAAAATCGGCAAAAATTGGCCGACATGAAGAGGAAGGTTTCTGCCTTGAAAAAGGAGAACAAAACTCTCGAATCAAAGATGAAAAAACTGGAGGACCAAGCTGAGGCCGCCACCAAGGCCCAATAGATGGCCGAAGAAAAAGCGGAGTTTGCCGAGGCCATTAAGAAGGTTGTTGAGGCCGAGAAGAGAGAGGCCGAGGTAAAAAAGGCCCAAGCGGAAAAAGAGCTTCAGCAGGCCTTAGTTACCAAAGATGTTGAGATTAAGGAGGCTGACGAGAAGGTTTATGCTCAAAGAATGGCCGACGTCACTGAGGAGTACAAACTGCAAGTTAGGCAGGCATACAACAAGGGCTTCTCCCTTGGTTGGATGCCCCTTGCCAAAAAGCTCAACATCCCAGATGACTCGCCATTGCGCAAGGCTGATGATATTCTTTTGCCATTTCCTCCACCTCCACCTCCAAGCCAAGCTAAAGATGAATCTGAGTCTGAATCTGAGGATGAGGATAAGGATGACGATGAAGCTTTGGTAAGGAAGCCCAAGGATACTAGTGAGACCAAGTCCCCTCCTCAGGATGATCAAGTCCTAGACTTGACTCATGAAGAGGATGATGAGGTTATCAAGGAGACCACCCCTGAGCAAGCATCATTTGATGTTCCTCAAATCGGCAAGAGCGTTGATGAAACCCTTGCCGAGATTGACGCCGAGATTGCTGCAGATGAGGAAGCCGAGGTATCTCTTCAAGAGACTTCTGAGGTTCAGATCCAGCCAGATGCTGATGTTAAAAAGTCTTAACTTTCATTTCTTTTCTTTTGTACCCTTGTACTTTGTTTTGTTTTCTGGATAATGTAAGCTTCCTTTCATAGCCGATGTGCCTTTCTTTGTTACTTCGAAACAATTTACTTCTGGTCTCAAGCCGAGGTCCACTGAATT